CACACACACGTGCGTGCGTGCGCAACTTATTTTTATTACTTCTCCTTTACACTGTTCCTGTGTGACTTTTGTTTTCTTCTTACTTTTCTCACTTCCTTATTCTTTTGATGTCATTCATAAATTTGACAAGCTTTATTTTATTTTTCCTTTCTCACAAGTAATGACAAGTATTAACAAGTAGTGGCCATTTTTGTTAGCACTTTTGAAATTGCTTCAAGAAATGCGAAATTGTATTACATGCTTGATGAAAGAGAATGGTGCATGACGTTTTAAAACAAGCAGTTTTGAGTAACTTTTGCAATGTTAATAGGTTTCTTTGTTGTTGTTTTTTCATTATAAACATGTCTTAGCAAGAAATAATTCATATGGAATTTTATGGCATTAAGTATGATGTATTAACTGCTTATGGAACAAATATAATTGTCATCTTACACAGTGAATTGCAGCAAGCTAATTGCATGGTGCTGGATGTAAATCTGCTGACCGTTTTTTCATGCAAACACAAACATGTCACAATGCGAATGTCTTGATTGAACTCCGATTTTTTAATTAATTTATATTACTGTATTACAAAACAGAAACAGTGCATGGAAACTTGTTTATAGTGTTGTTAAACTTTTTTTAACTGATTAATTTGTCAAATACTACACTAATTGGAAGGAAAAAAAACAACTTTGTCTTACCAATTGGTCAGGTGATTTTAAAAGTTACATCAAAAGACCCACTATTTTATTGGCCTTCAGTATGGACAACTTTTGTATGAAATGCTGATTAATAGTTTTGAAGTTTTATCAGTCTTTTTACAATCGTGGACCTAAGAAACCTTTTATTTGAAATCAAACCCAAATAGTAAACAATTTTTTCAAATTATTTTTTACAAACTTAATTGTTCAAATCTCCAAGACTTGATTTTTATCAAGTTTTGTAATAATTTTTGTATCTAGTTCTTAAAATAGTCCCTAATAAGGGTCATAAAATTTAACGAAATAACTTTTTCAAAAATCATTGTAAAGTGTCTTTTTTGAAAAAAGTACACTTATGAGACACAAGTATACAAGTACACTTATGAGACAGTAGACTACAACATATTCCATAATATTGTTTTATTGCATTCGTACAAATTAGAAACAGTATCCTAATGTCCACCATTTAAGAAATAAGTACATATGCAATAAAGTTTAAATTACAAACTAGTTACAAAACATAATATAGTATTTTGATAATTTCATTTCTATTAACTCCAGGCTAAGCACGTGGATAAGGTAACCACTGCTGCTGCTGCTGCTATGCGTTTGAAACATACATGGTACTTTCTTTTTGAAAAATAAGTTTTCATGTAATTTTGAATTATATAGTGTTTTTTGATTGATGGCTGAAGTGTTGAGATAGAAAGTGCAATTGTCGCTGGTTGTAATACACAAAGGATAGATGACAGCTTTTTACAATTTATTGGAATTCATGGTCCCAAAATCCTGCTAGTGTGCTTCTGGATTCACTATGCAGTCCTGCATCAAACAGATTTAAGATTAATATTTGCAGATTGTAATGTAGAGAACAGATTACTGCATCACACCTTACATTCATGCATGTCCTAGACCCATAAAACCATGTTGAGCTTGAGTTCTGTTTTGTGAGCAGTATTCTACAAAATGAGTTCTTTTGTAAAATTCCTGATCCTCTTTTGGATATTTAGCTCTTCAAGCTACCCTTAATCTATAGCAAGGATGGCCACACATAAGCAGTAATTCAAAATTCATGTAAAATTAATTAAGAGTAGAGGCTAAAATAAAATGCAATGATTAAATTAGTCACCATTTGATTTTCTGGGAGATTTTATCTCCGTGGTTAGCAATATTAGAATGTTTTCTCTCACTCAATATTGAATGTATAATACTATAAAGCAGCGTTCAGGGGTAGTCATTCAAAGTTAAGATCCAATATGAAGCTATTTTCACTTAAAAAGAAAATTTTACGTAGTGTAGCGTGTTCGCACTGATCCAGCTAATGTAATAATATTACGTAACCATTACCAGTAATAAGAAAAATCACATGCTGTTGTATAGAACCACAAGTTTGACCTTATTGCATAAAATTGTTTTACTTTTGAGTTTATTTTATACAATTTTTCCAGTCTGAATTTTATAATTTCAGCCCTGTTTTAATATTTTATTTTCTCAATTCAGATGTTTCTAAATTTATGCTAGAAAATTCAGGTCTATTCCGGAAGCAGGGCACATAAGCCTACATGCCCTTTTCATGCCATCGTTTCAAATGAATCGCTATTTCATAATACTGTTGCTGAGAAAATTTCATTTTGATATATCTAATGTAGGCAGCCTGGTGATAATTATTGTTAGCCTTTGCTCAGTTGTTTTGCTGTACAGCTGGCATGTATACCCTATCAATGATTTCTGGTTTGTTTGTTGTAGGTTGTTAACCTTTATGTGCATATATACATATATACGTGTATACATAAATATATATACCGAATAAGCAAATATACTCTTGCCTAACCAAAGTCAATGAATACACTAAAACTGATACAGGAGTCTCACTAGCTGTAGCTTTTGAAAGTGAAGAAGAAAAAGGAATTTGAGATCACTTAGTTATAGTGTCAAAATAAACAAAACAATGAAATATACTATTTCCCGATCAATGCCTAATTATTAATAAATAACAACCACAAAAACCTCAAGAATTTAAAGATATTATACCACTCAAAACATCCCCATGTGAACAACAGCAAAATAAGCAATTAAAAGATTTTAAATCAATCTGACGTAAGCATACTAAACTTGTTAGAAAACCTCCCATTATACTAATACCAATTCAAATAAAATTATATTTTAAACAACATACCATAATTCTAAAAATGCATATTAATCTATAGCCTCCCAACTCAGTCTCTCAACTCAACTTTAGTAATACATCCATTAACACCATAAAACCAGAAATAAGAGCTTCAACATGAGCCTTAGGTAATCATAAATGAATCATAAATATAGGTATTTATTCTAAAAAAAACAATAATCATAGTCAAGTATATATAAATGTATTTAAATTATTGGTCTCACCCCAAAATCCATATAAAGTTCCATTCATCTGATAAAAATTCAGTAATCCAATTAATAATGGTAAAGATACTAATAACGTATAAAACAATAAATAAATTCCAGCCTGAACACATTCAGGCTGATATCCTCATCTTCAAATCAGAAA